AAAATCCTTCCAAACAAAAGAAATCAACGAAACGAAACATCTCAACACTTTATCACTCATTTCCCTAATCATTGCAGCGTATCTCTTCTCCATCATAATCATACAACAAACACTTTCCCTAAACTTACCAACACGCATCATCATCTCCCTGGTTCTTCTCATTCTTCTAGCATCACCTCTCTACATTACACTCAAATCACATTCAACTCAAAACTACCAATCACTAAATACCAATCAAGAAATCTTAGAAGAACATGAACATGAACATGAACTTGAAAACGAACATGAATCTGAATCCATCAAACACGACAAGAATCTTTTACAAGCTATATGCACAGTAAACTTCTGGTGTTTATTTCTTACAACAGCAACAGGAATGGGTACAGGGTTAGCAACTGTAAACAATTTAGCCCAAGTGGGTGAGTCTTTAGGCTACAGTAGCCATGAGACTACGACTCTAGCCTCATTATGGAGTATTTGGAACTTTGTGGGCCGGTTTGGTGCTGGGTATGTTTCGGATCATGTTCTTTATACTAAAAAATGGGGTAGACCGGTTTTCATAGCAATCACTTTAGGGTTCATGAGTATAGGCCATTGTGTGATTGCTTATGGGTTTCCTGGGGCTCTTTATGTGGGTTTTGTTTTGGTGGGTGTTTTTTATGGGTCACAATGGTCGTTAATGCCTACAATTGCTTCTGAAGTTTTTGGGGTTTCACATTTTGGGACGATTTTTAATACTATTACAATTTCGGGTCCGATTGGGTCGTATTTTATTTCTGTGAGGGTGATTGGGTATCTTTATGACAGAGAAGTGGGTCGAGGGGTGACAGAGTATTGCAGTGGAACTCATTGTTTTCGGTTGTCTTTTGTTATTATGGCGTTTGTGACGTTTATGGGGTCTATGGTTGCTATGTGGTTGTTCTTTCGGACTAGAGGGTTGTATGAAAAGATTGTCGTAAAAAGAGAGAGTTGTTCTAGTTGAAAAAAGTGGGAGGATTATCTTATTGATTAGTCGTTTAAGTGTAAGAGTGTGTAGATAAAATCAATAATGAAATTTGTTTGTGTTGAAAGAAATGAAGGGGTTACCCTATGGTTAGTATACACTCGTCTTCCTGGAATTCCTTCCTCTTCTTTAACTAGGTGTGCCATTTAATTTTTTGAGGCGCTTCTTGCTTTCAAATTTAGGCGGATGCCTTATTGGTGCACAAACCGGTTTTTTTTCCAAACCGGTTCGGTTCAAATCAACATAGTAAACACCGGTTCAAGACTAAACCGGTTTGGTTCTAAACTGATTCTTCAATAAAAATATGTGAATTCTATAAACTGATTTTGTTCTTTGGAAACCGGTCTATCAGTAAAATGGTTCAGCAAACCGTTCTAGTGTAAGATCTTTAAATCTGGAGGTAAAGTCGATATCTTTCTGCTTTCTAATCCATCATACTTACCTTTTTAGAAAAGATATGTCCCTTTCCAAACAGTAGAAGATTTGTACTATAAGGCTGGAAGGAATGGTGTTACCGAAACCGCGCTCTTTTTATTGTCACATGTGCTCCACATTATTTTTTACCACACAAGTGTGGTTTTTTGCCACACAATGAGTGGTGTCACACTCTTCCCTTTTTTTTAAATAAGTTAATTAAAAAGATAATATTTCATTAATTAAAAATAAAAATGTCATACATTGCATAACTTAAAAAAAACCTAAAAATTTAGAAAAACTAATTAGAACATAAAACCTACAACTTAAAAACACACACACACAAACATATACACATCAAACGCTTAAAAACTTGAAGAAAAAAAAAACTAGAAATTAGCTACGATTTTCTCGTATGATGTTTTGTTTTTTTCGTCATTTCTTGTTATCCTTCACTAAATTCCAAACATCAAGAAACTTGAAAGCCTTTACGTTTTCTTTTTGATACACTTTCAGTGCTTTCTGTTAAATCAAATAATCGCTTTCTCCACTTTTCCATTGACATTTCATGTTGGTATACAAATCATTAAACAACATGATTTCCTTGTTCATCTTCCCCCATTTCGAGTACATTTGATGTTTTGAACGGTATTATCGACGGTTCATTCCTTTATGCAATCTATGTAAAACCCGAATCCAAAAACGGTCATGCTTGTGGTCTTTTCCAATCGACGTATCTTTTGAAATATCGATTCAAGATTGTGCCAACACTAACGCTTCTAGGGGTTCCCAACCTTTAGCATGTGTCTTCTCTTTTCCTTTAGTTGCTGCTCGAGTGGGCTGAATTTCTTCAACGAATTCCGGTTCGGAATCAGAAACGACTGTATGTGGTTGTGCTTGTATTTGTTGAACAAACTTGGGTTGAGACAAAAAATCAAATTGATTAAAATTTATGTCGGGTTGTGGTAGTGTTTGTGGTTGTGGTTGTGCTGGTCGTTGTGGAAAATACAGAAGCATACTGTCATAGTGGTAATACGGAGGCGAAAAACTCGGTTCGAATGAAGGTATTGGGGTTGGGGTGTTTCTAGTGGGTGTTTTTTCTTTGGTGAGCCTTTTGAAAGAGGACATTTTGAAAAAAAAAAATTGAAGAAAAAAGATAGTAAAAATAATAATAATAATAATAACAACAATAATAATAATAATAATAATGATAATAATAATAAATAAATAAATAAAAATAATAATATAATTTCTGCACGATGGACCGTTCAACGGTCAAAATATTCTCCATCGAATCAAAACACGCGGTTAGAAAGCGGCACACTGCAGCCTAAACCGCAGGAGAACGCATCCAGGAGGCGATGTTCGCGGTACACGTGGCAAACCACAATTTCAAACTGTGGTCACTCCCTACAGTCTAAGAACCCACTGATCACTTTTGTCCCTTTGCTGTAGCTTTATAGTGTCTCGAACACAAGCACGCATCACATGATATTTTGTCCATTTCTTTCTCTCTTTTCCTGCATACCACCATAAACATATATTTGAAGCAACCTACAATTTCTTCCTTTCCTGCATACCACCATAAACATATATTTGAAGCAAACTACAATTTCTTCCTGTTTTTCACAAGGGATAATGACTTGAAAGGGTAACAAACTTTCGACTTTTGTCACATTTAGTCACTAAACTTTTTTTCGTTATCTATTTGCCATTGAACTATTGAAACTGTTCACATTTTACCCTTATGACCGGCTGTTGCCGGTCATAAGGGTAAAATGTGAACAGTTTCAATAGTTCAATGGCAAACAGATAACGAAAAAAAGTTTAGTGACTAAATATGAACAAAATCGAAAGTTCGTTTCCCTCTAAAAAGTTCAATGACTAAATGTGAACAAACCTCCTCTTGTATTATGTTTTAGCAAATTATTTATTTTTGTTAAATTGTAGCAACATTTGTTGATGAAGAAATCTATGAAAAACAAAAACAACAAAACAAAACAAAACCCTGAAAATATATTAAAAAAAAAAACAAAAAACCAAAACCGAAATAAAAAACCAATGGTTTGATATTTTCCAAAATAAATACATCAAAATTTCCAATCTGATTTTGGTTTTACAAAAAAAATGAATCATTCTCATTGATGTGAATTATGACCATTGGTTTGGCATACGAAATTTGTGACATCCCATGAAGATGTAGTTACAACATCATTTGAAATCGTAATTCGTAGTAAGGCGTTAGAGTATCATCACATGAATACGTAGTTACAACATCGCCTGAACTCGTAATTCACCACCTACAGGTTATGGGTCTGCTGGTGTTTCCACTGGGTTGTCTAGAATAGTCCGTGGTCGCCATCTATACTCTAGTAGATGACTACATCGCCACATTTCTAGTAAAGGTTATGGTATCTCCTTTCATCCTACATCACATATTCATCATCATCTATTTATCTAATTATCACCACCTTTCTATCATCACCTATCTCTCATCATTTTATTTCATCACACACCAACTATTTCATCTACCCATGTTTCATCCGCAACATATTTGTAGATATAAAATAAATATATCGTTTAAATCTTTTAAAATATGTATAAAATCGTTTATCCAACATAGATAGCAAGTATTCAAATAATATGCGCACATAGCACGTAATTTATATAAAATACTTCATATCTATGTGTAAGATGAAAGTAACTATATATACCATAAATGCTTCCTAACTTTGAACCCCAAGGTTTACTCTACTAAAGCTTCATACTCTTGGCTCTCTGAACCTAGAAGGGTCCAGATCTGTCACACCAAAAAGCTCAAGATAGCCCTTCCTCTCACTCTACACACTCAAGCTCGCTAGGGTTCTCACTTATGGGAAAGGTATTCACAATTGAAGGCCATAAGTGCCTTTAAATATGGCTCGAGCCCAAAGATTTAGGGTTTCTGCCAACAGCGCGGACTCGTCGAGTCGCCTCACCGACTCGTCAAGTCCATTCATTAATCCGAGTCATCAGTCGCGACCTTACTCGACGAGTTGAGGCGTCAACTCATCGAGTCTCTCTTCTTAACTCAAAAGAAAAATACTTAAATGATGATATCTAGAAATCCGGATGTTACATTTTGTTTTTTTATTTCATAGATTTCTTCATCAACAAATGTTGCTACAATTAAACAAAAATAAACAATTTTGCTAAAACATAATACAATAGGAAGTTTGTTCACATTTAGTCATTGAACTTTTTAGAGGGAAATGAACTTTCGATTTTGTTCACATTTAGTCACTAAACTTTTTTTTCATTATCTATTTGCCACTAAACTATTGAAACTGTTCACATTTTACCCTTATGACCGGTAACAGCCGGTCATAAGGGTAAAATGTGAACAATTTCAATAGTTCAATGGCAAATAGATAACGAAAAAAAGTTTAGTGACTAAATGTGACAAAAATCGAAAGTTCGTTACCTTTTCAAGTCATTATCCCTTTTCACAATCTAACTACAAAACACTTACAAACCCATTTATGATTTACATTTGTGTTTTAGTAGTGGGTAGTGATTTCGGTAATAGAGGAAGTGGGTTGTGATGGTCTCCGGTTTGTGGCTAATAACGGTGGTTCCTGTTCTTGTGATGGTTCTCGGTGGTACAACCTTTCTAAAGATGGTGGTTTTCAGCTCAGTTTACAAACCGGTTTCACACCGGTTCACTCTAAACCAGTCTCAAACCGGTTATAGTGACAATATATGCGAACCGGTGGGAACTGATGGTTTGGTTCTGCATCGGATCGGTTCTAGCTTGGACCGGTTCAAGGGTGAACATGTTTTCAGTTCGGATCGTGAAGCGGTTTTTTCGCGCACGTCTAGGATGCCTCCCTTTTTCAAAGGAGTAGACTTGGTTGTCGGACTTATGGATCAAATTGTTGGCCTAAATTTAAGATACCCATAACAACTTCCATGAAATTGATGCCCCCATTACTTTTGGTGTCTTGGGCGTGGCCCAGCTTGCCCTAGGCTTGGGCCGGCCCTGCATATTCGTTTGGTTTATTTCAAATAGATAAATTTGAATAGATTTTTATGATGTGATTTTGAAGATTCAAAACCAAAATGATAGAGTAAAATCATTCCGCTGAGGAAAGGAATAAAAAATAACACATGGTGTCTATGTGGAATAGAAACACGCTTTTTGAAGGAACGTGATTCCTATGCTTGCTTTTTCATTCTCTCATAACAAGCAATTACATTCGTTACCTGATTCCCACGTACCAAACATGGTTTAAATATCTTGAGGCCTTCTAAATTTTTGTTCATTCGTTCATAAGCAATACTGGCTCACTGACGTAGAGGTATTTTCAGTTCAGTTAATTACACCAAATCCACATTGTCAATTCAGTTGAACAAAAAAAATTCTGATTTTCTAGTCATGGTGTCGATCAATTAGGGTTCTAATCAAGAATGATGTCTTTGTGCAGATGTCCCATCGTTCACAACCATCAGCAGGTGTGCGCTCAGGCTTGGCCGCAATTGATGAACATAATCGTTCGTGGCACGAAATTCAAATTCCGGCTGCTTCAGGATCACACTCAAAACCGTGTCAGAATCTACTTCTAGGTAACTTCTGTTAGCCATTTTCCATTCTTTATTTCGTTAGATGCATTGCTCCATTTGTTGAGATCAGAACTTCTACAAAAACTGACTAATAATATCCGCATTTGGAGAAACAAAGAACCTCTCAACACTCTTGAATGTGCTCACAACCTTCCATTTGCTATTTCCACTATCACACCTTGTTCCCACGTCTCAGTAAAGGAAAGAAAAGAAAAGGGAATGAGTATACCGAGGGAAAAGAAAGGAATTGTATTTTCGTGTTCCTAAGTTCGAATTCCAAAGAAAAGAAAGGGTAATAAAAAAAATGTGTTCCAAATTTGAAGAGAAAAGAAAAAGAAAACATGCAGCTTTACAATTATACCCTTGTTCGGAACGATTAATGTTGTTTTGCCAACTGTGCCGTATTCATGCCCAGATTATCAACAACTCTATGTTTCTTTTTGCAGAGTTTTATTATTATTATTTAAATTACACAATGCATTTATTGTTACGAAATACTAGTCTAGCAGGTATACAACTGAACATGAAGTGGTTATACTGTTTATGTAAATGGCATAGCTAGGCTAATTATGAGTGATTGAAAGAACCTATATACTTTTGTTAATTTAAAAATGAAAAGATGAAATAAAGTTACGAACCATCGACTAATTGACGTACCATTAATTTAAAACCCATTAACTATTAAATATATCCGTATCAAAGTTTAATATGGATATAGATCCACTAACAACAAATTTTTTTCTAGGAAGATAAAAAGTTTTTTTTCTATATATTTTTTTGCTGAACAAAACAAAAGAATTACTAGAATAATAAAAAATAAAATGACTCGCAAAAGAAAATTACTGAAAAAAAAAAACATATCGATTATTCATTTTATGATGATTTTGTTGTTATTAACTAAAATTGTCATATAAGTGATTTTTTAGATTTAATTAAAAATGAATCATCAAATTTTTTTAGAATTTTTTCTTTTAAATCATCTAATGATTCATTTTGTTTGTTCGCTAAAAAAATATATATATAAATTTTTTTTGACCTTCCTACCAGAATTAGAAAAGAATACCAATGTTTCTTAGCTGTTTTAGAAAACAAACAAAAGTCAAGTTTTTTATCAGGGGAATAACGGAATTCAAGAATAAATATCAGATAAGTTTGATATCAAACAAAAATTACAAATGTACAATTATGCCCCTCGTGCTAAATATACCACCAACATATAATACAAAAGTAAAATATCAATAGGCCGAAAATGAACCAAACTAAAAAGAACCAGACAAATTAGATGAACTATTGCATTTTTCTTAATTTCAAAATATGAGTTGGTGAAGATAGGTCAAAAATATCCATTGACAATGTGACGTGTTTTATGAAGAAAAAAAAAACTAGTTTCTAATTAATAATGGCTAATACACAACTCATTAATTTCATATGAATTAGTATTTTTAACTTAGTCAAACAGTCGTAGTCTTTTGGCTATGTTATTCATGTGTCAATAGTTTGTGATTATATGGATATAGAGTTTAGTTGTAGCTCCATGTTATTTTGTATATAAACCCATGTAAACAAAATGAATATACAGTAAATCAAATAACCAATAACATCCATGAAACTATGAGATGGGTTGAAGTTTAATAATCCAAGAAAAATATAAGGTACTAATCTCAAAATAAATTACAAGCCAAGAAATACACTAGCAACGGAAGTATGAAAATAAAGTAGGGGGAAAATCAACAAAAGCCAAAACTTTAGGATCAGTTCATGGTTGAGGACAAAGCAAATAATAACAGTGACCTAAAATAAGAACGTAGAAACATTTTTTTTTACCTTTGAGGTTGCGTGGACAAAGCTTAAAGACGTTGAATGGTGCAAAATCTTGTATGTAATATGTTTTCTGGTTTACATCGTCTTTCTATATAGTGATATGAAAGGGTAATTGTGTGAACTTCAAAAAAAAAGGATGAGGATACGATCGACTTCTCTCCAAATCTCTCCAATTTAGGAGGAAGATTAGAAAGGAAGATATTCCCTTATCTTCTCTTCTTTTCTTTCCAAATCGTCCCAAAAAAAACTTGGGAACAAGATCATATCATCCTTTACCTCTATTCCTTTTGCTTGCCTCGCCTTCCCTCTTCAAATGAGTCTCGGGAATGAGGTGAGTCTCATCGAACCTCATTTTTCATGGTAAGAGGGACAACTGAACAAAAAACAAAAATACACTTACTACTTCTTTGATGCAAATAGAGAATTAAAACACAATACATAAACCTAAATCTACCCTCTTCCTAGGCCTGGCAATGGAGCGGGTTTTGACCTTGATCCGATCCAAACTCTTAAGAATTATACGGGTTTGGAGCATAGTTTTTGATTCGTTTACCCGTTAACGACTCATACCCGCTAACCTTTTTATTAAAAGGATCGGGTATGGATCATTACTGATCCGCTCCGATTATAACCCGCCCCGTATAATTTTTAAATTATTGGTTTATATTTTATATTACTTAAAGTTTAATTTTAATTCCAATCGAAAGTCCAAAGGGAAAATGCCAAAGTCCAAACTGTTTATACATAAAAATCAAGGAGTCAACTTCTAGACTTCCAGTCTTCTACTAAGAATTATGATGTCATTTCAATTATATTTCATCAAACAATCATCACATTTCATCATAAATCAATAAACTCATTCACAAACTTAAAGATAGTTTGTCATTGTTATTCTCTATCACTACAATTGACAGTAAAAAATAAATCAGAAGTTACTACACTAGTGATTTTTAATTCCAATCGGAAGTCCTCGAGTACTTAATGTGTTTTCTAAATCAACATTTATTTTATTTAAGAAATATTATTTTATGAATTAAGTAAAATGTGTTTGATAATTCAAAAAGCCTATGGGTTGCGGGGCGGGTTTGGATATCCGTTGATTCGGTGGAAAAGGGTATGTATTTGATTATTCAAAACCTTGCGGGTTACGGAACGGATTTGGATTGGATTTTCAAATTTGTTAAAAGGGTTTGAATCAAGGTCGATTCGCTCCAAAACCATCCCATTGCCAGATCTACCTCTTCCTAATCTTACACTAAAAATTTTGAACAACCCAATTCCCAACCTCTCACTTTAGTTCACTAAGGCTTGTGACTTCCTCTAACTTTTTGTCTATCACATTAGCCCTGCGTTATTTTTCCCTCACCCCTTAATAGATAGGAAATTGTCACTTCTCACTAACTCTCGGTTTTTTTTTTGTTAAATATATTAAAATATAATATAATAGTTATATAAGATTAATAAAAACAAAACTATTTCATTAATTTTAAAAAATACTTAATCAAAATAAAAAACTATTCCATTAAAATTCAAACGAAACTAAAAATATTAAAATAGTTCATCGTTGCTCATCTTCACTCAAAACATCGTCAAAATCATCATCAGAATGTCCTTCAAACATTCCCGACTCTTCATCTCTATCGTCGAACTAATCGTTGTACCAATTGTCAACAACTCGATTTATATAAGCATTGAAGACATGTTCCACCAAATCAGCACAAAGGTCATGGTGTTTAATGCTATCGTATATTTCCCGTCTGTTCATTATGTATTATGTGTTAACTTGAAGATGAGCTATGTATCTTGTACACAACAAGAGACACAAAATTATATGTAGAAGAGAGACAATTACATAACACTAACTTGTGTACATTGATGCATAAAATCCAATGTTCTAAATGACGTGAGGTGTGGCGTGGTGGTAAGGCCCAGAATCTCAAAACAGCGTAAATTTTCAAAACAATTTTTTTCATTTTTAAAACATACATTTTCTCATAAAATAATGTCAAAACATATTGTATCAATGTTATCATCACAAAACATCTCCCCAGAATCTCCAACATAAACTCCAATGCGTGTGTGTGTAAGAATCATGCCGACGCCTTCCCGCGCTCATCACTACTACCTGAAACACATAACACAACAATTGTAAGCATAAATGCTTAGTGAGTTCCTCAAAATACCGCATACAACATATACGCCACTCGAGGCTATAATACGACCTTTCGGTCGGTGTGTCTCAGCGGAACCCTCCAGTCCCGTAGCTCGTTGGACCCTCTGGTCCGGTCATAGCTCGCTGGGCCCTCCGGATCGGTTTGTATCGTTGGACCCTTCGGTCCGGTCTATAACATCATACAACATACATATAACACATAGCACATAATCTCATACATAACACATATGACCCTCTGGTCCACACAATATACCACTCTAGGTAACGTATAGTGAGAAGACTCACCTCGATGTCTCGGTAAGTATCTGACTCGGTATAAATGTGATCTAGCCTCCGCCTAATCACATAAAGTAAATACTCTCATAAATACAATTGTACTCAACCCTAAAAGTCAACAAGGTCAATGGTCAAACTTTGACCCGACTCGTCGAGTGCTCTAGGGCGACTCAGCGAGTCTACACGTGTCCACTGACTCTCTTGACCCTCTCTTGGCATGTCGAGTACTTCCCCTGACTCAACGAGTTCCACCTGGCATGAATCGTAGGGCCACCTTGACTCAACTCGTCGAGTCTCAAGAACAACTCGGCGAGTTCCATCTTGAACTCAGTCCCCCCTGACTCTCCCTGACTCACCAAGTTATTCCCCAACTCGGTAAGGCCACTCACTGAGTGATTTACGGGAAACCTTCATGCTACTCGCCAAGTCTGTTCTTCGGACTCGGCGAGTTAATGCCATGCACAAACTCCATACAACTCCTGAGGCCAGATCTGTTCCATACATTCGTAGATCAGGCCTTCCCAAGCATTATAATCATGTAAATTTTAGACCTTGACACACATACAACATCAAAATGGTCTAACTTGGTGATTTAGCCCCAAAAATGACATCCCAAGCTCATGGCTCCCAAAATGACTCATAAAGCTCCAAGGATTAAGGTCTCTGGACCTCTTTGGGTCCAGATCCAAGACACAAACTCGAGAAGGGACCAAATGCTCCCCTTAATCAACCTCTAAAAGGGTTAGAAAACCCTAACACTAAGAATCAACACCAAAACTAAAGAAGGCGTGATGTAATGCGACGATTTTGTATTAATTTAAAATTATATTACTACATAAATATAAATTTATATTAAATATAACTAGTTTTTAGAAGTGTTAGATTAATAACTAATAACAAAAAGTTAACAAAAACCACAATACTTGTATCTCCGATTAGAAAAGACATAACAAAGAGCAAAAAACTGTGTCTCAAACGAAAAAACGTGCGCCATAACACGCCATAATGCGCCATGGCATGTCATATCACGTCTTGCCACACACCACGCCTAACAGCAACGTTATGAGGCTTTTTGTAACGGCGAAGTCACACCTCACGCCATGGCGCGCCTTTTAGAACACTGATAAAAACTAGAGAAGACAATATGCCATATAGGCTTAAAAACGAGAGCATAAACTGCAAGGAAAAGATGTAACCACTAAGGAAAAATAGAAAACTGTTAACTAGGCAAAGACTTATTTAAACAACGGAAAGTAAAAATAAACTACTAGAGGCATGCTTTGCACATGCATGCATGACACGAAGAATGAGAGTAGAAGA